ACTCTCATGTTGCTTCCTGCTCTCAGAGTGCTTTTAGGCTTTATTTCATGTCCACACCACTGCGTGTTACTGGAAATTCTCCAAGGGAAATTGCTTCATATGGAAGGGAAAGAGATTGGTTGAATAGTAAAGGATCACTTCCCTCTAGTTTGGGCCCAGGACGGGCCCAGAAAGGAAAGGAATTATCTGGAGCCTTCCGAGTTCTTTCATGTAGTCATGAAATTTACTAAGCGCCCACCACATGCCGGGAACTGTTCTAAGAGCAGGAGACCCCGCAGTGAACGAGACAGACTAGGCCCCTGCCCTCGAGCCTTTTCATTCTAATAAGGAGATAGACCATACACAACTAAATAAAGATTAGGTGGTGATAAGTCTATGTTGAGAAATAAAGCAAAGAGAGGGGTATGGGAGGCCAGGGCTGGGGGGCAGGGCGGTCAGGAAATGGCCCACTGATGAGATGACTTTTGAACAGAGAGCTAAGGGAAGTGACGGAGCTGGCACCGCCGAGATCTGAAGGAACATGGGTCTGGGTGGGGGAAGGGCATGGGTCTCTGGAGCAAGGGTGAAGTCTGCCCTTCTAGAAGGAGCCATGAGGCCAGCTTGGCTGGAGACGAGTTGGCGGGGAAGAAGGGCGAAGATGTGGTCGGGGGCATATCAGCAAGACAAGTCACATGAGCTCTTTCAGCCTTTGTAAGGACTCGGCCTTTGAGCCTGAGCGAGATGGGAACCCTAAGAGGGCTCAGGGGAGAGGACGAAAATGACCTGACGTGTTAGATATGCCACTCTGGATTTTTCAGAGTTTAACTCTCTTCTAGTCATGGCAGACCACGTAATTCAGAACCGCCCTACGACTGAGGACCGGGAAAGTGGGATAAAACATTTCTAAACACTTAAGTCTTAATACTTGAGGACACTCAAGCACTAAAAGGACAGTGAAGAATTGTGAAATCAAGGTCTGGAGGAGGAAAACCAGAGGCATGAGCACAGCCTTGGGGGCCTCTTCTCCCCAGTGAGTATCTGCCAATTCTGAAATAGGGGACTGGAAGGCTAAGAGGTACAGCAGAGCTTTTAAAAGACTCATGAGTCTAATGGGACAAATAATGGCATTCAGGGCACACAGACGGGAGTTGGGGGGACCCCGTACCACCCCATGCTTGTTTGTGTATTACCCCCAAAAAAGTAATCCAGGCTGGGGGAAGGGTCAGAAGAATCCCCCAAGCTTTTAGTTGAAATCCCGAAAGGATACACCCTTGGAATAAGAATGCAGGGTCTAAACCCCAGCTTCAGGTCCTCCGAAACCATAGAAACCATCTCAACCTCTGGCTGCATTAAGGTGGTCTGGGATTCCTAGGCCCCTTGCCACTTGCAGCAAAGTAAACCCTTTTCAGGGGCGCCTGGCTGACTCAATCAGTGGAACATGCGACTCTCCATCTTGGGGTTGTAAGTTCTAGCCCCATGTAGGGGGCAGAGATTACTTAAAAATTAAAATCTTAAAAAAAAAAAGTAAACCCCCTTGAGAAGAGATGACAACACCTACGCCTCAAATGATCTCCTAAATTTTTCATATACAGTGCCCGAAACTTTATTTTCATTTTTTTAATGTTTATTTACTTTTGAGAGAGATCGACCGAACATGAGTGGGGGAGGAGCAGAGAGGGAGAGGGAGACACAAAATTCGAAGCAGGCTCTAGGCTCCGAGCTGTCAGCACAGAGCCTGATGCGGGGCTCGAACCCACGAACCGTGAGATCACGACCTGAGCCGAAGTTGGAAGCTTAACTGACTGAGCCACCCAGGCGCCCCCGAACTTTATTTTAAAATAACCAGGCATCCGAGGGCAACGCAACATGATGATGATCATGATAGCGACCATTAAAACAGTTAACATTTATTGCTCTGTGTGTCAAGTACTGTGTAAAACATTTTCTCTATATGATGTCATTTAATCTTGACCATCCCACACACAGCAGCAAAGACTTCCCCACTCCCTTTTTAGAGATGTAAAAACTGAGGCATTGAGAGAAGTGATCCACCTGAGGCCATACAGATCAACGTCATCTATTCAGTTTTGCCCCAGGCACTTGGAACAACATCTTCAGAATCCTCTCTATATTGTTTTAACGTCTACTGAGCACTTTCTAGGGGATAAATGACCATCACTCACTCTTTTACTCCGAAGACTGTGTAAGTACTAGCTGCTCACATCCCTGGGCTAAGACCCAGAAGCCCAGAGTCAACATCGGTCACCCGCCGCTCACAAAGTTGGCTAGCAGCAGTCGCCCTCACAGCCAGTGGGCTGGATCCAGACTGCAGCTGTTTTGTTTGGTTTCTGAAAAAAAGGAGATTTGACATAAAGACACCAATTCCTGGCTTCCTTACTACAAATAGTAAGGTCTAGGGGCACCCCAGGGGGCTCAGTCAGTTAAGTGTCTGGCTCGATTTCAGGTCATGATCCCAGGGTTGTGGGATTGAGCATCTCATTGGACTCTGCTCTCAGCCTGGAGCCTGCTTGAGATTCTCTCTCCCTCCCTCTGCCCCTCCCCCCACTCCCATGCTCTCTCTCTGTAAAAAAAACAAAAACAAAAACAAAACAAAACAAAACACAACACAACAGTAAGGTTTGGCAACACCGGGCCTACGTTTCCGCCTTGATTGGCAGCTTCCCTATAGTACAGAACATGAACTTCCTATGTCACCACAGCCCCCAGTGGCCCAGTTCTCACTTATGTGGCCTGCCTGGCCCTGGGGGCAGTTGCAATTATGATCCTTGGTCGCAGCAGTGGGATGAAGTTGTATGTTCTCGGGATACTGATGACAGATGAGGAAGTTTTATAGGTCAAAGAAGGCTTCGTGGATTTGGTGATATTTTGAGCAGGAAGAGGTCATTCAAGCGAAAGCCTAGCATGTGCAGAGGTAAGGGTGGCAAGAAAGAGCATATCCTGTCATAAGAGCTATGAGTCTCAGTGTCATGGAGAGCAGGGGCAGGGATAGGAAAAGGATCTGGAAAGGAAGGCAGTGGTCACGTCTTTGGAGGATCTTGAATTATGTGCCAAAGTGAGTCTGGTCAAGGGAGTGTAGACAAGTTTACAAATTCCAGAGAGAGAGTAGGGCTGTGGAGAAGTAAATATTGAGTGTTTTTGCAAACTAAAGGTAAGTAATACACAGTTACTGAATGAACAAATACATGAATATATACATGAAGAATGGAAAGGAGGCAGCCAACCTCAAGGGTCCATTGGTGTCAGCCTTGAGGAAGCTTTTAAAGCTGAACTTGGCAGTGTGGCCCATGGCAAAGAATTACCCAGAGTTGGAAAAAAGGGGCCTGGGAATATGTGATACTTTGCAGGAGACTATATGGGGACCCATTCCCATAGGGACGGGTCACATCTCCATCATACCTCTGTCTTCCAGAGATCCAGGACCCTTTGCTGCCCATTCCCAGAAGGTGTCTATTTCCTTTCCCCTCGGTCTCCTGGAGCCAGCCCAAAGGAACCTCGGTGGTTCCAGAGCATTCCCAGGCTTGGATGAGGACAGGGGCTTAGAGCTGGCAGTTGGGTGGGAAAGGAGAACACATGAAGGTCTCTTCAGGTGCTTCTTACAGATGGGGAAACTGAGGCCCCGAAAGGCACACCTTGGCACAGTCAATAGGCTAGGTTAGGTGGTCTCCAAGTAACGGCTGTCCCCAAACAAAGCTCTGATGTCCCCAGAGGGCAATATGATATGAGCACAGGCTCAGGATATCCGTCAGGATGGGGAAAGACAGCACACTTCTCCCTGTTTCCCTTCACCAGGACACTAAGGGAGGTAGCACTACTGCTCTCTGAGTGACAGAATGGGGACCAGCTGAGTCACAAGAGGACAATGAGCCTTTCTCAAACCTTTCTGATGTGCCCAGAGGTGACTGCCCTTCATTTAATCCACCTTTCATTTAATCCTTAAAAAGCCTTTGAAGGTCAGTGGTTAGTGGCCCATATTACAGATGGGGAAACTGAGATTTAAAGAGTTTGGTAATTTACCCACAGTGAGTCACACGCTAATAAGTGGCAGAATGAGTACTTGAACTCAGGTCTGGCTGATGCCCAGTCACTGGTTCTATCTAATGGTCCACAAAAATCCCCCTCAAACCTCAAGTCTTTGTTGCCCTCCCGGCAGGAAACTTCCCCGGTTGCCTCTCATATGGGCAAGTGGGTTGTATCTCTCAGGTCGTAGCCACTTCTCAGAGAGGCCTCCCTGACCACCAAGATCTCAAGAAGCCTCCCCTTTCATTATTCCATTTTCATAGTCTTCATCTTCGTCTTCTTCAAGAAAGAATTTTTTAATGTTTATTTATTTTTGAGAGCCAGAGAGAGAGACAGAGCAAGAGCAGGGGAAGGGCAGAGAGAGGGGGACACACAGAATCTGAAACGGGCTCCAGGCTCTGAGCTGTCAGCACAGAGCCCCACCCAGGGCTCGGACTCACCAACTGTGAGATCATGACCTGTGCCCAAGTCCGAAGCTCATCCTACTGAGCCACCCAGGAGCCCCTTCATCTTATTTCTTAATGATCTTCTTTATATATTGCCTTCTTCCCCTCCCTCCACCCCCTGCCCCCATTGTTAGCTACTTGAGAGTGGGAAATTTGTCCTGGGCCAAAGTGTCCTCTAGACATAGGGTGTCAATAAATATTTGTTGAATGAATGAATGAATGAATGAATGAACGAACGAACGAACGGAACTGCTGCTTAGCTTAAAAAGCCACAGTCAAGAAAAAGGTGGATTTTAGGTATTTTCCTTAGCAGAGCAGTTTTGTCCCCCGGGTGCTAGCAAGGCGCACACTCTTTGTTTTCCGGAGAACGGTGAACCAGGCTACCTTCTGAGCTGATATAAAGGGGAGCAGAGGCTCCTCTGGCCCCAGAGACTGTTCTCTAGCAGGCTGGCCCTACAGAGCCCCAGAAAAGTCCCCAGAGCTGGGCTAGCCCTCCCACCTGCTCGCCCCCCCCCCCCACCCGCCGCCCAAGGCAACCTGCGGAGGAAAACATCGCGGGGTGGTGACCTGGATCCACGGGCGAGGTGTGGGAAAACCGGGGCAAGAGTCTGGCGCTGGGCGGGGCCACCCCGCATGGCCTCGGCTTTGTTTGCCTCTGTGATGGCAACCAGAAACCGCCGTGGCCAGCAGTTCTCAGAGGCCGGCTCCCGCTCCCCGCCCCCCCCCCTTTATTTTAATCTCCTAAACTGATTTGTCAGCAGCAGGAAGTGACATGACAGCTTTCCTCACAAAAGGGAAACTCCTCCGCGTTACCATGGGGATGGAGGCCACTGTATGATCACAGATTTATATAATCTTAAAGGTGTACACACCATGACGTCATCCTGGATGGGCTGGGGAGGGAGGAAGGGAAATGGACTGCGGAGGCTGTTAAGTCCAGGGCAAATGAGCTATGATTTGCAAAATTCCAAGGAAAGGAGAGGATGCGGTGGAAGTCTGGGGTTGGAACTATCCTAATGGAAACCACAGAAGAGCATAAAGTGTGCATTGAGATCCAGTGCAAACTGGTCGTTTTGGGAGTGGGAAAACTGACCCCGGGGAACCACTGGAAGTTGTTAGGAAGGGCGAATGGGATCGAAATGCTCCTCCAGGGCCCGGTACCTGCCAGGCACTTCCCCCTCCTCACTCTATTTCTATGAGCCTATTTCCCCCTCACTCTATTTCTATGAGCCTATTTCCCCCTCACTCGTGAAGCAGCTTTTACTATCTCATTTTACAGATAAGGAAACTGAGGCCCAAAAGGATAACTAGCTTTTCCACCCCCAAATTATGTGCTAAAACCATGGTGATGTCTGGTTGGCTACAAAATTCATCCCTTCCCTGCTCCCTCAAGCTGTTTGGACTGAACTAGGACTTTGGTTCCCAGTCTTCTTTCCGACCCAAGTTCCAATCTCTGCAAATATTGTTTACTTGCTGTATGAACTTGGATATGTCCCTTCATCTATCTGAGCCTCAGTTTCCTCCTCTGTAAAATGGATGTTGCTGCTAAAGGTTTAATGCGAAGGTATGTGAAGCAGTTACAGTGGCTGGCACCCAGCTAGCTCTAAAATTGAGAGCTATTATTACCACATTATAACTATTAAATGATGGAGTTGTCTCTATTTCAATCTCCCATTGAGAAACAAGCATTTGAATAGTTTGAGTATCTTTCTCCTCATCACGAGATACTTCCCCCCCCCCCCCAACCTAAGAAAAGCCGTATCAGGCCAAAAGTGACATTCTCTGGAGGGCCCAAAGACTAGGAATCAGATACGTGGAGAAAAAGCATTATCAACCCTACTCTCCTGAGCTGATGGGAGCCGGGGGGGGGTGGGGAGGCAGAGCTTGCACTGGGCGAAGGGAGTGAATTGTTTTCACTGGTGGCTCCCTTAGGCAGCGGCTGTATTTTTCCACTGCGTGGATTACACTGGAGATTAATTCTGGTTCAGCCAGTGCCTGTTAGCAGAAAGTGATGGCCTGAGCCCACGGGGGAAGTCAACCATGGCATCTGCCACGGACTTGAAGTTGCTGGTACGTTTCCACGAAAGGAGATATTTGCAATAGTAAATTTCTAGGGTTTGAAAAAAACACAGGGTACGGTTTGTTTTGAAAGGCGTGAACACACTTCCAATGGGAAACCCAGCCAAGGAAATGAGCTTGCCAGCTCAGGGTAAGTTCTTAGAACTTAGAACTCAAGGTTCTTTCAGGCTCTGAGAGTCAAGTGGCAGATGGTGAACCAGTGGGTAAAGGTCAAGGACACTGATTGTGTGTCAAGCCCTTAGATGACCTGGCTGGACCAGGACCACTATTCAGGGCACTACTAAAGTCAAGCGAAAGGTTTCCTTTTCTGCTTCCTACATCACTTTGTCCAAAAACAAGTAGGAGGACAGGAGCTAAGGGACCAGTGACCTAAGAGCTTCACTGTTATTTAATTCAACATTATAGACTAGGTTAGGAGTTGGTAGTCAATTACACCATCTCTGTTTTGGCCTGGTTGACAAGAGTAAAAATCCAGAATCTTGGGGCACCTGAGTGGCTCAGTCCGTTAATTGTCCGACTTTGGCTCAGATCATCTCATGATTCGTGGGTTCGAGCCCCACATCTGGCTCTATACTGACAGCTAGCTCAGAGCCTGGAGCCTGCTTCAGATTCTGTGTCTCCCTCTCTCTCTGCTCCTCCCCTGCTCACGCTCAGTCTTTCAAAAATAAACATAAAAATTTTTTTTAATCCAGAATCTTGCCCTAGAGCAAGTCAGATTTGATTGCCTATCTTCAACAAAACTATGAAATCAGACTAGCAAGTGACCTGAAGGAGGCAGCCACCAAAAATTCTGTGTATATTCTGTACATAATAGAGATGCTGGCATGGATGTACTCCAAAGCATGAATAATGGTCAGGTTGGGGGGTGGAACTCCAGGAGTTCTGTCCATGTTGTATTTATGTGTAGTGCTTCGTGTTCTTTTCACAAAAATGAAAGTCTTTTCAAAGGCAAAAAGGGAGCACGTGAGAGAAGCCAGCAATAAAGCACAAACCACATCGAATTAGGGAACAAAACAGGTGTAGGGCCCAATTCCCCCCACCGCCACTTAGCTATGCTGGGTCTCAGCATCTTTGTCTGCAGGTTTCTGCTGAATTTTGGGGTAGCAGGTAGCACACTACCTTACACCTAGTAGGAGCACATACACGTCAGCGGTTTTGCAAAACCATCATCCTCATAACTCTAGCACGGCTCAGCAAGGAGAGGGCATCTTTTTATATTATCCTGGGTAAAGTATTAAACAGGAGCGCCTGGGTGGCTCAGTCAGTTAAGCCTCCGACTTGGGCTCAGGTCATGATCTTGCGGTTCGTGGGTTTAAGCCCCACGTCAGGCTCTGTGCTGACAGCTCAGAGCCTGCAGCCTGCTTTGGATTCTGTCTCTCCCTTCTCTCTTTACCCCTACCCCGCTCATACTCTGTCTCTCAAAAAACTAATATTAAAATAAAAAATTGGAAAGGAGTTTTCTCATTAAGTAAATAAATAAATGGCAGCCCAAGCAAATGGTCGTTTCTTTTTGGCACTGGGAACACCTGGGCTCCTTGTGTGACATGGTAGGAACACATGGGTAGACACCTGGATCTGATATTAAGAGTTCAGCTGCAGTACCTGTTTTATCATGACAGATCACACTTTCCTACCTTCCTTGCAGCCCAGCCACCTTGGACGGGAGGAAGGGCCCCCAAAGGAGTAGGAGCCCAGACCCCAAGACATACATCTGGGAGGCCCTTGTCCAGACTGCTTCACTGATGGGAGACGCATCAGTTGGGGCTGCCCACGAAACAAAGCACTGAGATTTCAATAGAAATGCCATAATTTATTCTGTAGTATAAAAAAAAGTCCTCCTTAGGTAACAAAACGTCTTCTTAAAAGAAATATATTATTTCAGTTCATAAATAATCAAACATATAACTGCTGGCAACTAAAAAGACAACAACAACACAGGTGCTTTCCAGCGGTGCCGAACAGAAACCTGCGTAGGGTGTATTTACAGGACATTACAGTACTCAAAACACAAAAATTGAGGTATTTGGTTCTTCTAGGAGTAGACGCGGACATTTGTGAAGGTGGACCACCTGCACAAAAATAAATAAGGTATGTTCTCATAGGTATGTGTCGTCAGGAATGGTAATACTGGTAGGTATGTCAAGCATGAAGAGTTCCTACAAAAAAACAGGAGCAAGCAAAAAGAAATCGCCTCATTAACGGAGTCCTTTCTCTTCTGCCCCTTTTTGTCAGAGGGACTCGATGGACCCACTACACGTTGGTCCCGAATGTGCTGAGTTCGGCAAACATCTGGAGGCTACATCATCACCATGAGTGCTTAGGAACCCAGTGGAACTCGGGGGTGAAATTAAATAAATAAGGACCAGCTCTGGCAAGCCCCCGCCTCAGTTATTGCATCTCTCCTCAAGGAGCCTAGAGTCCCAGGGGGCTTTGTGGAGATCACCTCCCGTGGCTTTTCAGCAGCTGGGAGAGGTCGTGATGGGGCTCTGAAGGTAGCTCAACGCACTGTTCGTGGAGTGGACGGGGATGGAGACGGGGAAGTTGAAGACGGTGGTGGTGGAGGTGCTGCGGTCCAGCACGGCCATGGCGGGGCTCCCGGCCTCTGCTGAGCAGTGAGGGGCCAGGACCTGGGACTCAAACTGCAGCAGCTGGCCCATGAAACTGAAGTTGGGGGAAATGATGCTTCTCCTTTGCTTCACAAACTCAAAGGCCTCATCCAGCTTGACTCGGTTAGTCCTCATGAGGTAAGCGAGGCAGATGGTGGCGGATCGGGAAATGCCTGCCTGGCAGTGCACGAACACCCTTCCTCCAGCGTTCTTGATGGAGTCTGGAAAACAAAGGGTGGCTGGTTACTGAAGAGCTCAAGAGCACAACCCTCACCCCAGGCATTGGGTGCCTAAGAAGCATGGGTGTCCTGTGCAGAGAGGGGCAACGTCACTTCATGCCGTCACACGGTGCTCTATGCAAAGAACGGCAAGGGATTTAAACCAACACCGGACACCTCCATGAGGCCGATGGAGAAGTCAACTCAATTTTCTGAACCTCAGTTCAGAAATGCATTCAATGGGACATGAAATCCCTATTTTTCAGGGATGTTGCCTGCACCAGATTGATACTTAACAGACAGAGAAAGGATCAGGCAAATGTCATTCAAGTCCTTGCCCTACAGCTGGGCTCAGTGACTAAAACCGGAGGAGCGAGGCACAAGTCCCAGGCACCTGTCCATTTACCTATGAAGTCAATGGCCTCGTTGAACCAGGAGCTGATGTCCGCCTTGTGGTTGTCTTCCACGGGGATGCTCTTATACTGGTAGTGACCCTCAAAATGGTTAGGACAGTTGGCTGAGACGTTGATCAAGGCGGTGATGCCCAAGGCGTCCAGCATGTCTTTTCGGGAAGCGTGATAGGCACTACCCAGGTACAGAAAGGGCAGGATCTCCACCGGGCCACCCTGAAATCCAGAAATATCCACTTGTCAAGCTTTGCCCAGAGTCAATTCCGGAGCCCATCCCCACAAAAACTCCCTGCTGGAAAAGTCAGTTTCAGGCACTGAGTGAATTTAGTATTGCTGGTGGCTGGTGGAGTATAAATAGGGGAATAACCCCATTTGCTTGGG